CAGCCTCGGCCTCCCAAAGTGCTGGGATTACAGGCGTAAGCCACCGCACCTGGCCAAAATTATTTTTAAAATAAGATATTGGGAGATGCAGCTATTTTACCCTACCATAGGAACATTTAAATAACTTGAATAAATCTTAAAATGACCCCCACGTCTCAAATGGTTTTAGGATAGAGTGGCATAACCAAGGTCTGCCACACAGTGGCAGTGTTTCTCCAGGGACAAAGGTAATTTGGAGGCCCGGGACTTTGGAAAAGCAGGTAGTTCTCAAACTTTACTCCAGAGGAATAGCAGTACTAAAAATGTAACATGGTATCCTTCCTCAATTTGCAGAAAAAGAAATAAAAGACATAATTCAGTCAATTATCTTCCTCCAAACTTTCTTAAGCCTTTGGTTTCTGCTTTTGTCTGCCAAGGAGCACGTATAAATAGAGCACTTTCAGAGCTGGCTGAGCATGTTAAGTTCCATGGCTGATTTTTCTCCAGACTTGTAATGTGAGAATTGCTTTTTAACTTTTTTGTGTGATATAATAATATATCCTACTAGTAAAAATGTTTCCTCGTTCGAACGACCAGATTAACAGCATCAGTATTGCAAAATGCTTCCTATGAAGTGCTATACTTCCTGGTGCCCTGCCCATTAAACCTACTGGAGAATCATGCTCTCATCCAGCGTTTTCTAGTTACAAAAAAGAAGAATAAGTTTCTTTTCTTTTTTTGAAACAGGGTCTCACTCTCTCACCCAGGCTGGAGTACAGTGGCATGATCTGAGCTCACTACAACCTCCGCCTCCTAAGTCCAACCAATTCTCCTGCCTCAGCCTCCCGAGTAGCTGGGACGACAGGTGCCCACCACCACGCGCAGCTAATTTTTGTATTTTTAGTAGAGTCAGGGTTTCACCACGTTGGCCAGGCTGGTCTTGAATTCCTGGCCTCAAGTGATCTGACTGCCTCGGTCTCCCTAAATGCTGGGATTACAGGCATGAGCCACTGCGCCCAACCTCCAAAAAAGAACACGTTTCTGAGAAACTAAATTACTTACTTAAGTTCATGAAGCCCTCTATGGGACAGGTTCAGACCAATCCCCGTAAAGCGAGCACTCCAGATGTTTCCTTGGTTGCCACTTATCAACTTGATAAACAAGGATTGTTGGATGACTACAATAATGAAAGGACAGAGAGGTCAACGTGATTCACAGGTTTCTGAACTGGTGAGTGGATTATGGTTCCATTCACCAAAATTGAGAATACAGGTTGCTAATTCTAAATACCGACTCACTTTATCTTGGCACAAGTTAATGTGTAAAATGTGTAAAATAAAAGGTTTCCTGGGGATGGGAGGAATGAGAAATTGTTGTTTAATGGGCATAGAGTTTCAGTTTTGCAAGATGAAAAGAGTTCTAGGCCAGGCACGTTGGGTCACAGCTGTAATCCCAGTGCTTTGGGAGGCCAAGGTGGGTGGATCACTTGAGGTAGGAGTGTGAGACCAGCCTGGCCAACATGGTGAAACCCCATCTCTCCTAAAAATACAAAAAAAGTAGCCGAGCATGGTGGTGGGAGCCTGTAATCCCAGCTACTTGGGAGGCTGAGGCAGGATAATTGCTTGAACCCAGGAGGCAGAGGTTGCAGTGGGCCAAGATAGCACCACTGCACTCCAGCCTAGGCAACAAGAGCAAAACTCCATTTAAAAAAAAAAAAAAAAGAAAGAAAGAAAAAAAGAAAAGAATTCTGAAGAATGGTTACATAATAATTTGAATGTACTTCTGAACTCCATACTTTAAAATGATTAAGATGGTAAATTTTCTGTTATATATGTTTTACCACAATAAAAAATGAATAAAAGCTTTTCCTTTCCTAGCTTACCCCTGTCCACCCATTGTTCAAATTGGAGCTTTCTCTCTTAGCTTCTGTGATGAGTGAAGAGGTGCTCCCCAAAGATATTTTAAAATACTAATATAAGGAATGTTATTTCATTTATTCACTTTCAGAGGGAGCTCAAGAAGTTGTCAAATTGTTGGCCAGGAGTGGTGGCTCACGCCTGTAATTCCAGCACTTTGGGAGGCTGTAGCGGGCAGATCACGAGGTCAGGAGATCGCGACCATCCTGGCGAACACGGTGAAACCCCATCTCTACTAAAAATACAAAAAATTAGCCGGGTGTGGTGGTGGGCGCTTGTGGTCCCAGCTACTCGGGAGGCTGAGGCAGAAGAATGGCATGAACCCGGGAGGCGGAGCTTGCAGTGAGCTGAGATTGTGCCACTGCCCTCCAGCCTGGGCGACAGGGTGAGACTCCGTCTCAAAAAAAAAATTGTCAAGTTGTTAAGTGAATGAATTAATTAGTTCAACAAATATTCATCAGTTTTCCTACCTTGAACCTGGGATGTTCTAAGCCCTTTGTTCTCAAAGTGTGGTCTCCAGATGAGCAACACCAGCATCACCAGGGAATTTGTTAGAAATATACATTCCTGTGGGGCATGGTGGTTCATGCCCATAATCCCAGCACTTTGCGAGGCTGAGACATGCAGATTGCTTGAGTCCAAGAGTCTGAGACCAGCTTGGGCAACATGGTAACACCCCTTCTCTACAAAATAAAAAATTAGCTGGGCATGGTGGTGGACACCTATAGTCCCAGCCACTTGGGAGGCTGAGGTGGAAGCGCTGCTTGAGCCTGGGAGGTTGAGGCTGCAATGAGCTGTGATCATTCTACTGCACTCAGTGAGAAAAAAAGGAAAGAAAGAAGTATACATTCCTGGACCCCACTTCAGATATACTGAATCAGAAACTTTGGCACTAGGACCCAACAATCGCTGTTTTTACCAGCCTTTCAGATTATTCTGATGCATGCTCAAGTTTAAGAAAGATAATTCTAGGTTGCAATGATACAGAGGCAAAGAAAACAAAGTGCCTGTCCTCTTGGAATAACAACAGACAAATAGATATAAATAAAATTTCAGGCAAAGGGAAGTGTTAGCAGGGAAAGCAGCACAAGAGAAGGAGGGAGAACACAGAGGATGCTCAGGCAGGGTCTCTCTGAGGGGTATGAACTCTGAAGTCGCCTCAAGTCTGAAAATTGGCTCCACCAGTTTCTAGCCTTTTAAAAGTTTGGTTTTCTCATCTTCTAAGAAAGAGATAATAATATTACCTACAAGTTTACTCTGAAAATTAAATAAGATAACACTTATAAAATCCTTGCAACTGTTTCTGTCACTGAGTAAGGCTTCAAAAAACATTAGCCCTCCACATATGATGGGGAGTGCCATAGATGTATATTTGGGAGTCATTGATGTAGAAATTAATAGTAAAGTGGATGAAAAGGTGGATAAACCAGGACACAAAAGGAGAAGAGGATGGATGATGGGCTGTTTTTGGTGGCGGGGGCAGAAATGGGTTGAGAGATGGTGGGGAGGTAAAGAAATGAAGATGTGGAAAGGGAGCTTTTTTCTGAACCCAGCTAAAGCTGGAAATTTGGAAGAGGAGGCCAGTGGATTGGGTGATGAACCAACTACTTGGTATGCCTGTGACTGAGGAGGTTCTCAGGATGCAGGACTTTCAGTGCTAAAACTAGGAAAGTCCTGGGCAAGCTGGGCTGGCAGTGGATATGACCATGGAGGGTGAAGTGAGCAATAAATACTCTGACCTTTCTTTCCTGGTGGTCTCTCATCTCCTTACAGTCACCTTATAAAGTGCCTTTACAGGGGTCTGACCCAACCAGAAGCCAGAGGGCAAGGGAGCTGGGATAATACAGTCTAGAGAGGTCAGCCTTGCCTTAACACAAAACAGGGTAAAGGAAGGACAGAGAATTAACCTGGAAGGGCAAAAAATAATGGCCAGCACAGTGGCAAAACTGGGATTAGAATTGTTTGGGATAGGCCAGGTGCGTTGGCTCACGCCTATAATCCCAGTACTTTGGGAGGCTGAGACGGGCGGATCACGAGGTCAGGAGTTCAAGATCAGCCTGGCCAACACGGTGAAACCTCATCTCTACTAAAGATAAAAAAAAATAGCTGGGTGTGGCGGCATACACCTGTAATTCCAGCTACTCAGGAGGCTGAGGCAGGAGAATGGCTTGAACCCGGGAGGCGGAGGTTGCGGTGAGCCAATATCAGGTCATTGCACTTTAGTTTTTAAAGACTAAAGGTCTTTAATAAATAAAAGTGGGCCAGGTGCGGTGACTCACGCCTGTAATCCCAGCACTTTGGGAGGCCGAGGCGGGGCAGATCATTTGAGGTCAGGAGTTCGAGACCAGCCTGGCCAACATGGTGAAACCCCGTCTCTACTAAAAATACAAAAATTAGTCAGGCATTGGTGGCGGGTGCCTGTAATCCTAGCTATTCGGGAGGCTGAGGCACGAGAATCTCTTGAACCCGGGAGGCCGAGGTTGCAGTGAGCCGAGATCGCGCCATTGCATTCCATCCTGGCTAACAGAGGGAGGCTCCGTCTCAAAAAACAAACAAACAAACAAAAAAACAGTGTGTGTGTGTATACATATATATGTGCGTGTGTGCATATATACGTGTGTACATATATATGTGTGTGTCTATGTGTGTATATGTGTGAGTGTATATGTGTGTGTGTGTGTGTATATATATTCAGTGGTAAGTGTCGTGTACAAAAGGCAGACAGGATCTAGCTGCTCCAGAAATGAAGTCAGTGGAGAAAATCCCACGGGGACCTTGGAATCCCTTTAAAAAGGTTCAGGTACAGGACACTCCCAGGTGCCCAGGAACCGTTTCCCAGCTCACTTCCCCCAGAAGACTCACCCCTCCAACTGCACTTCCTGCTTTGGCAAGTGTCAATGGTCAAAGACCACTGCTCGCCTGGTACCTATTGCCCGCCCCAGTGTACCTCCAGCTCCCCGAGGCGCCGCTACCAGCAGCTGCGACCCAGCCTGGGTTATTTGAGGTCGGCGGGAGGCGCTGCGTGATTGGTGGGTCGGAATGGGGCGGGGACTCGCTGGAAAGCCCCCTCTGGATTGGTGCAAACCATGGGGGTGGGACCTCCACTCTGGCTGGGCGGGAAAGCTCGAACAGCGCTGCCGGGCTGGAGACGGCGGGAGCCGCTGCTCTCCGGCTGAGGGAACCAGAGACAGCTCCGTCCCTAACGGAGCACCGGGGAGGCAGGAGTCATGACGGGCGAGGTGGGTTCTGAGGTGAGTTTACGCACACGCCCCCCACCGGGGCTGCGAAGGCCCGGCACCGAGGGGTTAGGTGGGGCCGGGGTAGCCCCCGCTGACCCGGGGCGCCCGGGCGGGAGGACTGCGGCTACCGGCGTTCACCGCGTCGGCTCCCGCAGCCTCGAGACTCGGTCGGGATGGGTTCCGACCGGGCGTCCCGTCCCGCCGCCAGGCTTCCCGCGCTTCGGGCTCCGTGGCCGGGGAGCTCCAGGTCTCTGCGGCGCGCGCTGCCGGCAGCCCAGCCCCTCCTCAGCCGGTTCCTGCCGCCAGCCCTCCCCTTTGGCGCGTTTCCTGTCGCGGAAGCTCCTCCCCTCAGGGTGCCCTGAAAGCCAGCAGGCTCTGGCCGAACCGGGCTGCAGGGGTGCGGGGCGGGATTCTCCGCAAATACAGGACGAGGGTGTTAGGGAATTCCACATTGGGCCTGGGAGGGGCCCTGGAGGTCATCGCGCAGAGGCCCTTTGCGTTTTCCTACGGGGCCCCGAGTGGGAAGTCACCGTTGGGGCTCCTGGCTGGTGGCTCCTAGCTCCCTGGCGAAATTGGGCGTAGAAAACAGATGTTTCCAGACCTGTGTCCTTTCTGGGGCCGGATTCGGGCAAGGCACTCTCGCCTTAGGAGCAAAATTTAAAGGGGCGCCAAAACACTCAATCATCAAACTCATATTTTAATGCAGTTTTTTTAAAAAAACCGAAATTAATGCAAAAAAATTTTATGATTTGATATTGAACAAAATATCAGACGTTTAAACAGAGACAAGATCTGACCAGTCATTTGCACGACCTTGCCTTGCCTTACTCACCTCACCCTAATCCCGTCCCTGGTTCCAATAAACTTTATCTACAAAAGCGGGTGTATTATTTACCTCATGAGCCGTAGATTATTGATTTAATTTTTTAAAAAATATCGCATTAATATGTTATTTATTTTGATTACTGAATTTTTTGAGACCTCACCCCACCCCAACGTCAAATGTCACCCTGCCCTTTGACGTTGCTGCAAATTGCCTAGAAGAGAATCGTCATTCAAAGCAGCCCTATTCCTTGAGCTGTCTGGTTACCTAAATTCGGTTTCCACATTCACAAACAGAAGTAATAGTTTCACTGCTTTGGATTGTTGAGAGGATCGTCAGTGCATACATATTAATTCTCAGCAATCCCAGCACTTTGGGAGGCCAAGGCCAGCAGATTGCTTGAGCTCAAGATTTGGAAACCAGCCTGCGTAGAAAACATGGCAAAACCCCACCTCTACAAAAAAAAAAAAAAAATACAAAAATTAGCCGGGTGTCGCCCGTAGTCCCAGCTACTCGGGAGGCTGAGGTGAGAGGATCCTTTGGGCCTGGAGGTCAAGGCTGCAGTGAGCCATGATCCTGCCACTGCACTCTAGCCTGGGTGACAGAGTGAGATGCTGTATCAAAAAAAAAAAAAAAAAAAAAAAATTGTGCCAAGCATCCAAATCAATTTTATATATATATATATATATATATATAGATACGTTTTTTTTTTTCCAAGATGGAGTCTCGCTCTGTTGCCCAGGCTGGAGTGCAGTGGCGCAATCTCGGCTCACTGCAACCTCTGTCTCCCGGGTTCAAGTGATTCTCCTGCCTCGGCCTCCTGAGCAGCCGGGACTACAGGCACACACCACCATGCCCAGCTAATTTTTGTATTTGTAGTAGAGATGGGGTTTCACCATATTGGCCAGGCTGGTCTCGAACTCCTGACCTCGTGATCCACCTGCCTTGGCCTCCCAAAGTGCTGGGATTACAGGCGTGAGCCACCATGCCTGGCCAATTTAATGATTTTTTGAAGAACCACTCGGGTGAGGCCTTGTACCCTGTTACATTACTGATGTTCATATTTCTCCCTTTATTAATAAGTTGATTCAGAGCCCTGAGAACTCCAAGGAGGTAGACTTGGCATCTAGGATTAGCTTGGTTACTAACTGATCAAGTCATCTAACACACCTCTCCTCCTTAGGTTTTTATTTGCGACTTTTTAAACTGTCTTATTTAGAAATTTTCAAACCTATACAACTGTAGAAAGGATGGTATAATAAACCCATCACCTTACTTCAACTACAGTTTGAATATGTCTCGTCTGAAATGCTTGGGATCAGAAGGGTTTTGAATTTCAGATTCATTTTGGGTTTTGGAATATTTGCATACACTTAATGAGATGTCTTGGGGGAGGGACCCAAGTCTAAACATGAAGTTCAGTTATATTTCATATATACCTTACACACATAGTCTGAAGGTAATTTTTATAGCATTTTAAAATAATTCCGTGCATGAAGCAAAGGTTTTATTGCAGCTCATCATATGAGGCCAGGTGTGGAATTTTCATCTAGTGGCATCATGTCAGTGCTAAAATATTTTGGATTTGGGAGCATTTCAGGTTCAGATTAGAGATGTTCAACCTGTATTATCAAATCATGGCCAATCTTGTTTCATTCATACTACTACCCATTTTTCCTCTCACGGGATTATTTGGAGGAAAATCCCAGATATCATATTATTTGAACCATAAATATTTTAGTGTGCCTATCTAACAGACAAGGGCTTTCCAAAAAAAGATAACTACAATATTATTACCACACCTAAGAAGTATCTAGTCAGTGTTCAGATTTCTTTGACTCATAGATATTTCATTTATTTTTATATGTCACTTTAGCATAATTATTTACATTTTTTTGAATCATCAGAAGTTGCATATTGCAATTGTTTATATTATATATGTATATATACATATATAAAGCATACTTATATATGTGTATATACATATATGTATGTATTTTAAGATATACATATATAAAGCATACATTTATGTATATAGAAATATACAGGGCCAGGTGTGGTGGCTTATGCCTGTGATTCCAGCATTTTGGGAGGCTGAGGCAGGCGGATCACCTGAGGTCAGGAGTTCGACACCAGCCTGGCTAACATGGTGAAACCCCATTTCTTTTTTTTTTTTTTTTTTTTTTGAGATGGAGTCTCGCTCTGTTGCCCAGGCTGGAGTGCAGTGCCGGATCTCAGCTCACTGCAAGCTCTGCCTCCCAGGTTCACGCCATTCTTCTGCCTCAGCCTCCCGAGTAGCTGGGACTACAGGCACCTGCCACCTCGCCTGGCTAGTTTTTTGTATTTTTTAGTAGAGACGGGGTTTCACCATGTTAGCCAGGATGGTCTCGATCTCCTGACCTCATGATCCACCCGTCTCGGCCTCCCAAAGTGCTGGGATTACAGGCTTGAGCCACCGCGCCCGGCCCCATTTCTACTAAAACTACAAAAAATTAGCCGGGCATGGTGGCACGCACCTGTAATCCCAGCTACTCAGGAGGCTGAGGCAGGAGAATCGCTTGAACCCAGGAGGCGGAGGTTGTAGGGAGCCAAGATCATGCCATTGCACTCCAGCTTGGGCAACAAGAGCAAAACTCCGTCTCGAAAAAAAGAAAAAGAAAAAGAAAGATAGCATATAGAAATATACATACATGTATAAATATATGGAAATATACATACGTACACACGTATATTCATTTACTTATGTATTAACTAACTTTATAGGTTTCTCTCCCTCTCTTTTTTTTTCTTTGCAATATATTGCAAAGGCCAGGCGCAGTTGCTCATACCTGTAATCCCAGCACTTTGAGAGGCCAAGGCGGGCGGACCACCTGAGGTCAGGAGTTTGCAACCAGCCTGGCCAGCATGGGGAAAACTTGTCTCTATTAAAATACAAAAAATTAGCTAGGCATGGTGGTGTGCGCTTGTAATCCCAGCTACTTAGGAGGAGAATCGCTTGAACCCAGGAGGCAGAGGTTGCAGTGAGCAGAGATTGTGCCACTGCACTCCAGCCTGGGTGACAGAGCAAGATCCTATCTGAAAAAAAGAAAGAAAGAAAGAAACCACCCAGTTTGACTTGTGGAGTTTCCCACATCTAGGTTGCATCTCTGTGGTATTATTCAACATGTTCCCCTATTCACTCTATTTCCTGTAACTTGGTAGTTAGATCTAGAGACTTGATAGGATTCAAATTTGATTGTTCTGTCAGGAATACTTTATAGCTAGTATTGGGTACTTCTATTAGGCAGCACATAATGTCTGGTTGTTTCTCTTTTGGTGATGTTAGCAGCCATTAATGATAGTTGCCGAGGTCTGTTATTTAATTGAGGGTTGATAAAACTGTGATAATCTAATTCTATCATTTGTTAATTCATTAGGATATTTCTCGAAATAGAAACTTCCCCTTATCAATCATATGGCTATATGGGGAACAGTTCACACAGAAAAGGCATAATAAGTGCTTGATTCTTTTCATTCTTTTACCATTACTAAAGGAGTTGGTTCTGTTAGCATCCTTCAAAGGTGAAAAATGAACTTTTGTTTGTTTGTTGTCCAGTAATTCTAAATGTCATCCCTTCAAGGAACCATTGTATTTGGTTCTTTCCTTAGTTCAGGTTGATGATCCCATGATTTGTGTGTCATTATGTACTTGGAGCTTTCGGTCACCTGCTGGTTAATACAAAGTATGTTGTCATTTTCTAGGTTCACCTGGAAATCAATGATCCAAAAGTCATTTCACAAGAGGAAGCAGATAGTCCTTCAGATAGTGGACAGGGCAGCTGTGAAACAATTGGACCCTTGAGTGAAGGAGGTTTGTAATAGTAATTTTATTTTTAGGAATAGTATGCAGGAGCCTCAGTTGTAAGTAGATTGGATTAATTTCATTATTCTCTTGATTTATTACATTAATGCCCCATCCTTATTGTTTGTTTTATTATAAAAGCAAAATAACAGTGCTTGTACCTTTTTGAAACTATGTTACATTGTTGAATGTCTAATAGCTACCACATTGCCTGGTTAATTGCATCCATCCTATAATAAAAGGAATTTTAACACCTGCCAGAGGATTAGAACAACTTCACACATTGTAAATATACATAAAATTACATTTCCCAGTAAGAGACATTTTTCCTAGGGAAAATGTTTTTCAAAATGTATTTTTAGATTTGCTTTGCTACAATCAGTTCTTAATAGTAGTTATATAATTTCACAATGTAATATATCATTTGTATAACTGAATATATTTTTGAGGAGTAGTGGGACTAGGAGGAAGATCAAATGATGGTATAATTAAAAGAAAATTGTTTCTTCCAGATTCAGATGAAGAGATATTTGTAAGTAAGAAGCTGAAAAACAGGAAGTTTCTACAAGACAGTGATTCCGAAACAGAGGACACAAATGCCTCTCCAGAGAAAACTACCTATGACAGTGCCGAGGAGGAAAATAAAGAGAATTTTTATGCTGGGAAAAATACAAAATTCAAAAGGATTTACAAAACTCTGGCAGACAGTGATGAAAGTTACATGGAGAAGTCTTTGTATCAGGAAAATCTCGAAGCGCAAGTGAAACCTTGCTTAGAGCTGAGTCTTCAGTCTGGAAACTCTACGGACTTTACCATTGACAGAAAGAGTTCCAAAAAGCACACAAATGATAAAGAAGGAACTGCAGGAAAAGCAAAAGTAAAATCGAAAAGAAGACTTGAGAAAGAGGAGAGAAAAATGGAAAAAATTAGACAGCTGAAAAAGAAGGAAACAAAAAACCAGGTACATTTTAAAGAATAATTTGCTATTGCTTGGGTAGGTTAACATTTTAGAAAAGATTGCTGTTAGTACTTGAGGTTCTTTCTGCTTTCCAAATATTGCTTTGAATTGACTATTTTGTGTTGAGAATAATAGGGTATGTTATTTAAAACTAACTGGTCTTGGCCAGGTGCAGTGGTGCATACCTCTAATCCCAGCACTTTGGGAGGCTGAGGCCAGAGGGTCACTTAAGCCCAGGAGTTCAAGACCAGCCTAGGCAATAGAGTGAGATCCCGTCTCTACAAAAAACTTAAAAATTAGTTGGGTGTGGTGGCCGTAGTCCCAGCTGTAGTCTCAGCTACTTGAGAGGGTGAGGTAGGAGAATCACTTGAGCCCAGGAGGTCGAGGCTGCAATAAGCTGTAATTGTACAACTGCATTCCAACAGGGATGACAGAGTGAGACCCTGTCTCAAAAAACAAAACAAAAAAATAAAACTTATTGGTCTTATTCTATTTTGGGTATGCAGAGGACATTTCCAAATAAATGGGTTTCTTATTTTCTTTATGAGCACATGGAGTAATTCTTTGCTGTCTCTGAGCTGATGAATATTAACTGAAAGAAGGCTTTTTAATGCATCTGTCAGTCAGAAGTCTTGTTTGCTAACTAGAAAAACCATCCTCAGATTTATAAACTAGTTGCTTAACAAGTATTTGACTTTTCAAAAAAAATTTACTGCTTATTAAGTTAGTTTTAGACAGTTGCATAAAACCACAACTTGGACTTCAAAGGATAAGTGTGAGTTAGGAACCAGTGAGAATGTTCTAGATTTTATATGCTTGTCTGTTGATGAAACATGGGCTTTTTCTGGCCTGACCCACATTGCCATATGATGTTGTGAAATACTGGATTTTTAAATGATTGGATTATGCTTTTTGTTTATGTATTATCTAGGAAGATGATGTAGAACAGCCACTTAATGACAGTGGCTGTCTTATTATGGATAAAGACCTTTTTGAAACTGGGTTGGAGGATGAAAATAACTCTCCATTGGAAGATGAAGAGTCAATAGAATCAATAAGAGCAGCTGTAAAAAACAAAGTAAAAAAGCACAAGGCAAGTAAAACATGATTGCAATAAGAGTTAACCAACTGCCTCTGACCTTTGCTATATTTTTAATTTACTGTTGGTAAATTAATTTTTAATTTACTGTTGGAACCTTAATTTTTTCTTTTTTTAACTGAAGAAAAACGTGTCAATTGACTTAAGTTTTCAGCTGTTAATTTTGGAGACTTGCAGTACAAGTGATAGACGTGCTAACTTATTTGGAAACTAGTTCTTTGTTATTACCCTTTTAGGAATGCTGAAAAAAAAGACTAAGATACTTGACGGTGTAGTAAGATGCAGGTAAATAATAGGGAAGAGATGTAAATTTTGCAGTCCTATAGCCTTTGAGAAATGAACCCTATAGCGTTTCAGGAAGGGTATCAAAGAGAGGCATCAGTCAAAACATTGTTGTCCCGAGTATTTGGAAGCATAATTTTTCTTCCTAAGATTTTTTTTTTAGCTTCCTGCGAGTTATTATCCCTCTTTAGGGAAAGATGTAAGCAGAGGTAAAAGAAATAAGGGTCCAAACTCCATTTGAGGTATCTAATTTGTTTTCTAAGCATAATAGGATGCTGTGTGTTTAATAATTTCTATTCGATGATTATTGATTTATTAATGTAGCATGATGTGGTGTTGGACGACAAAAGTAGACTTCAACTAAATCATCCTCTTATTTGAATTTTGTTTTTGTCCTAATAATCAACATGCCATTTCTTTTAGAAAACAGAACCATCTTTGGAGAGTGGGGTCTATTCATTTGAGGAAGAAAGTGAGTTATCAAAAGGAACCACGAGGAAGGTGAGGTAGAGCCCTGTATATTAGTCACATTGATCTCTTTACACAGGAGTTTATGGATTGCTTAGGGATAAATATTTTATTTTGTCTATCATATGTTTCTGTTACCCATCATACTGCTTTGTACATAGTAGGAACAAAATATGGATTGGATTGAACGAATTCTCTGAGACTTGAATGAATTCTCTAAGACTTTAAATGAATTCCTTGAGTTTATAATGCATTTGGCTTACTATTTCCTTTCCTCTTTTCTTGGAGAGAACAAACTCTTGAGGGATGAATATCTATCTTTCTGGATATTCATGTAATTAATGTAGTCTCACTTTTTGTTTTCTTTAAGGAAAGAAAGGCAGCCAAATTAAGTAAAGAAGCATTAAAACAACTACATAGTGAGACTCAGCGCCTTATTCGAGGTAATGCAACCCAGTAAACTTTGAGGCAAAATCACAATGTTTCTTGGTAAGCTCAACTTGGATGTTGAGGACTTTTATTTTTTTAACACTTCTAATATGAACTCAGATTATAATATCAAGTTTAGAATTTATCTTAGTGAAAGGCCATTGTTCTAAAGCCCTTGGAACATTAGTATAAACTGAAGAAATTTTCAGAATTGTAATGCGGGTAAGGAGGAAATTTAATGGTTGTCTGTGGACTGATTCTGTTAGGATTCTTTGGAGAGGTAGTAGTCCCTCTTTATTTGCAGTTTTGGTTACCCGTGGTCAGCCATGGTCCATGGAATTTAAAAAAAACATCTCTTTGTCCAGTGTATCACACTGTATACGTTACCTGCCTGTTAGTCAGTTAGTAGCCCTCTCAGTTATCAGATGAAAAAAACACTGCATGGCTTAGTACTATCTGCAGTTTCAGGCATCCACTGCAGGTGTTGGAATGTATCCCTGTGGATAAGCAGGGACTACTGTATATAAATTTTTAGGCCCCACAGAGATTCTGATTCAGTAGGTTTGAAATGGGATCCAAGAATCTGTATTTCTAAAACACTTCCTGGATCATTTTGATTTCATATCTAGGTTTAAAAGCCATTGGTCTTCAGGGAACTCTTCTGTACTTAGCTCCTGTGCCTTTGTTAAAGGGGAGTTTTCTATTTCTAGTGATGGCGTTGGTTATTATGTTTGGTTAACTGAATATGAAGTGACATTTCAGAATATACAGTATATATATTTGCATGTTTTATTCTGTTTTATAGAGTCTGCACTTAACCTTCCATATCATATGCCTGAGAATAAAACCATTCACGATTTCTTCAAACGTAAACCCCGGCCCACTTGCCAGGGAAATGCCATGGCACTATTGAAGTAAGAACACTCTTATTATTATATTAAATTATTATTATTATTTTCATGAACATTTAGTTTTGTAGCAAACATCTGGCATAAAAAGTTCAGATTTCTCACTCCCTTAAAACTGATTTAACTGATGTATACTAAGGGATGAGAATGTTTCACATTTAGGATAATTTTCAACTCCAGCTCATTTTCTCTTCTCTAGGTCATCTAAATATCAGTCAAGCCATCACAAAGAAATCACAGACACTGCAAATACTACTGAAATGAACAGTTATCACCACAGTAAAGGTTCTGAGCAGACAACGGGTGCAGAAAATGAAGTGGAAATTAATGCACTCCCTGTGGTTTCAAAGGAAACCCAGATCGTTACTGGATCAGATGAGTCTTCCGGGAAGGATTTGGTAAAAAATGAAGAGCTAGAAATTCAGGAGAAACAGAAGCAGAGTGACATTAGACCTTCATCTGGGGACAGCTCGGTGGTGCAACAGGAATCCAACTTCCTTGGGAACAATCACAGTGAGGAATGTCAGGTTGGAGGGCTTGTAGCATTTGAACCTCATGCCTTGGAGGGTGAAGACCCCCAAAATCCAGAAGAAACAGATGAGAAAGTGGAAGAGCCTGGGCAGCAAAATAAATCATCAGCAGTTGTGCCACCTGAAAAAGTGAGAAGGTTTACTCTGGATAGACTTAAGCAACTGGGAGTAGATGTTTCCATTAAACCACGGCTAGGTGCTGAGGAAGATTCCTTTGTGATACTTGATGAACCTGAAACCAACAGAGGTAATCCTTTAAATTGTGGGGAGTCTCCCTGGTGTGATTATCCTGGTAGCTTTTGATTATTGACCACTGTCGAGGAGAGAGAACATAGGAGAAACCAATAACCACATGTGATCTTATCCTGCAGTTGTTCCAGATATGGGCAGAATCCCTTTTAGAGAAATTTGGCAGGGTATCAGAATGATCTAAGCCATGTTTAAAATGGAAGTCTGTTGGCCAGGTGTAGTGGCTAACGCCTGTAATCCCAGCACTTTGGGAGGCTAAGGTGGGCAGATCACGAGGTCAGGAGTTTGAGACCAGCCTGGCCAATATAGTGAAACCTGTCTGTACTAAAAATACAAAAATTAGCCCGGCGTGGTGGCATGCATCTGTAGTCCTAGCTACTTGGCAGGCTGGGGCAGGAGAATTACTTGAACCCGGGAGGCAGAGGTTGCAGTGAGCCGAGACTGCACCATGGCACTCCAACCTGGGTGACAGAGTGAGACTCTGTCTCAAAAAAAAAAAAAAAATTGTTGATAGTTAATATAAAAAAGAGGTACATTGCTATTGTGTTATGGTATTTAGGAATTTATTATTTCTGCCTTTCCAATCTGAAATTAAGTTTTTTCTATAATCCTGAGTCAAATCTTTTTTTTTTTCTTTTTTTTTTTTTGAGACGGAGTCTCGCTCTGTCACCCAGGCTGGAGTGCAGTGGTGCGATCTTGGCTCACTGCAAGCTCCGCCTCCTAGGTTCACACTACTCTCCTGCCTCAGCCTCCCTACTAGCTGGGACTACAGGCGCCCGCCACTACGCCCGGCTAATTTTCTGTATTTTTTAGTAGAGATGGGGTTTCCACTGTGTTAGCCAGGATGGTCTTGATCTCCTGACCTCATGATCCGCCCGCCTCGGCCTCCCAGAGTGTGGGATTACAGGCGTGAGCCACTGCGCATGGCCTGAGTCAAATCTTAAGACATTGATGAAAACATCATTTAATTTTTTACTGCTGAAGAGAAACATTTTGGTTCACTTAAATTATCTGTGAAACTGAATTTCTTTTGTTTTCACTCATTCAACAAATATTAAAGTATCTACTATGAGTAAGTTGCTATGGGGCATACCAAGATAAATCTGATATTTAAGGTATACTTAAGATGCTTTTACTCTAATGGGGGAGATCAGAAGTATGCAAATAACAAGTACAAAGGAGAAAATGGTAAATGATGTCTTTGATAATGAATATGTCATTGATAATTGGAAAATAAATAACATGAAAAAGGAAAAGTATTTTCTTAACATTTAGAATAAAATACTGTAGGAATTCAGAGAGGGATAAATTTCTTCCAATGAATGGTTAGAGGACAGCTTGAAGAATAGGTGGATGTAATTACTTGTTCACTGCCTTCCCTTTATACTGTGAGTTGGGATCTCCTGCCTTGTTCCCTACTCTATCCCTAGTGCTTCCTCAGTGGATGACACATTGTAGGCACTTGTATTTATCAAATGAATGAATGATCTCTCAACACTGAACTCAAGTATTACCACGTTGAATAAATTTCCTGACTCTTAGATAGAGATGGATGCTCCTCACTCTGCCTTGAGGCAGTATGGCATGGTGGTTAAGAGCTTAGACTTTGTGGCCAGACGCGGTGGCTTACACCTGTAATCCCAGCACTTGGGGAGGCTGAGGCGGGTGGATCGCGAGGTCGGGAGATCGAGACCATCCTGGCTAACGCAGTGAAACCCCGTCTCTACTAAAAATACAAAAAATTAGCCGGGCGCAGTGGCGGGCGCCTGTAGTCCCAGCTACGCAGGAGGCCGAGGCAGGAGAATGGCGTGAACCCGGGAGGCCGAGTTTGCAGTGAGCCGAGATCGCACCACTGCACTCCAGCCTGGGCCATAGAGTGAGACTCCCTCTCAAAAAAAAAAAAAAAAAAGCTTAGACTTTGTAGCAAGACCAGGATTTGAATCTGGACTATCATAGCAATTGTTTAACATTGTATATGCCATTTGACCTCTTCAAGCATCTTTTTTTAAAAAAAGAGAAGAAAACCAGGCACAGTGGTGTGCACCTGTAGTTCCAGCTACTGGGGAGGCTGAGGCACAAGAGGGTCACTTGAGCCCAGGAGTTTAAGGCCATCCTGTGCAGCATATGAAATCCCGTCTCAAAAAAAAAGAAAAAATAAAGAAAGAAAAAAGCACTTTATGGCTTGTGGGCTATGGTGAAGATGTGTTGAAATAATGCATGCAAATGGATAGTTTAAAGAAGCACTCAAAAAGTTGTTGCTGCTTCTACTATTATTAGTGAAATGGTTCACATCAAGACTTTTTTTTTTTGAGATGGACTTTCACTTACTCTTGTCACCCAGACTGGAGTGCAATGCTGCGATCTCAGCTCACTGCGGCCTCTGCCTCCTGGGTTCAAGCAATTCTCCTGCCTCAGTCTCTCAAGTAGCTGGGATTACAGGTGCCTGCCACCACACCAAGCTAATTTTTGTATTTTTAGTAGAGATGGGGTTTCACCATGTTGGCCAGGCTAGTCTTGAACTCCTGACGTTAGGTGATCTGCCTGCCTTGACCTCCCAGAGTGCTGGGATTACAGGTGTGAGCCACTACACTCGATCAAGACTCTTTCATTAAACCGGGCACAGTCAGTGGCTTATGCCTGTAATTCTAGCACTTTAGGAGGCGGAGGTGGGAGGATTGCGTGAGCCTGGGGGGTCAAAGCTGCAGTGAGTTGTGAGCTGAAATTGCACTACTGCACTCTAGTCTGGGAGACAGAACGAGACCCTGTCTCATAAAAACACACACACACACACACACACACACAAAATTACCTTTCATTAAACAGCTTATTGTTGGCAGGTGCTATGTCAGCCACTATATCTGGTGTGTAAAATATGCTCAGTGAGTCTGTTAATTGAATGAGTTGACTTTGGAGATGGAGAGGATAGAAAGAGCACCTTGTCTCATTAAAAACACACACACACACACAAAGATTCTCTTTCATTAAACAGCTTATTGTTGGTAGGTGCTATGTCAGCCACTGTATCTGGTGTGTAAAATATGCTCAGTGAGTTTGATAACTGAATGGGTTGACTTTGGAGATGAGGAGAAGGATAGAAAGAGCTCTGCATGGTAGTGCATATTGGGAAAATGTGAAAGTCAGTTTGACCAGGGCTGGAGGTTGAGGTGGCAGAGTTGTGTAACAGAACTAGCACAGCTCCATTAGCAAAGAAGCATGAGAATAAGCTGTTATCTGGAACACTGAGGGAAAGTTTCTGTTCTATGGGACTAAAAGTTACCTAAACAGTCCTAGACTGATAGGAAAGGGAGAAACGTTTTTTGAGTACCAACTATATTAGACACTGGTACATTCTTTGTTAGTTGTCTTTCTTAATTTTCATAGCGCGAGGTATTATTTTGCAAAATGAAGAGACTGAGGCTCAGAGAGGTTAGGTAATTTTTCCAGCATTATACTTGGCTTATAAAGGGACCTACATAGTGGCTGGCCTATGGTGAGCACTTACTTTTTAACTTGGAACATGTTTTCCTTTAGAAATAATTGACATGAAATTCGGGTTTCCAGACCAGCCATAATATATATGAAGTTAGAATCAACATTCATTCATTCATGCAATAAATTGTATTTAGCACTGTGTTTGGTGCTGTGTATACACGTAAAACACTCCCTGCTCTTAAAGAAATTAAAATATAATAGGAGTGATAGGCAGGCAAACAGACCATTACAATACTGGATGGTAAGTGCTGCGATCAAGGTATGTAATTGAGGGTGCATTGGGAACCTAGAGGAAGGGTACCTTACTTGGAGCCTAGAAGTCAAGGAAGTTTCTGAAAGGAGCTCAGTAGAGATACCAAGGCAGAGAGGTGAGGGAGGACTTTTTTGGTGGAGGGGTTGGACCTGCAGATGTCAGAGACAATAGAAAGCACAGGGTGTTCTACCTGGCTGAAGTGAAGATAGCAAGGACATTGGTGATCATTGCCCAGATCATTCAGGGTTTTTATGCCATGCTAGGAGCTTGGACTTTAGCTCTTTGTAAGTAGAGGACCATTGAAACGTTTTCAGCAAAGGAAATGTTCAATCAGATACTCACTTTAGGAAGTTAAATCTGGTACCTGGTGTGGTGGATGCATTGGAAGGGGTTAAGAGTAAAAACAGTGGGAACAGCTCAGTTTCCTTACCTCATATAGGATAAGGTTTCCATGAAAAAATGCATGTAAATTTAAATTTTGTGATGTCAGAAATACATTACTTCTGTTGCTTGCAATAGCATATGGAATAATCCCTGGCTCTAATTCTACTTTCTGGACAAGAGTAATGTGAATGAGAATAGTTCTCATGCTGACTGCTATTTTAAGTCCCAGGTAATCTTCCCACCCAACCATTTCTCTTGCTCTAGTGGCATCCATAATAACCTGCCTATTTCTGTTCCCTTTTCCCTGCCACTACCTGTTGCTTTTAGCTTTACTGAACCACTGCAAAATAGGAGGCAGACTTATAGCTTGTCTCTCTACTCTTTTGTTTGCAATGTAAACATAGCATCCTTTAGAGTTGAGTTTTTGCTGCTAATAATGTTGGGGGCTCAGGATAAAAAGATTTCCTTCATTTTTCTCTTTTTCTAGTAAGACCATCTAGGGGAAAAAAAAACACACATCTAGATGCTAGTCACAAAAATACTGAAGTATGATTTGAGTACATTTTAGAAAATTAACCAAAGTTTCATGCCTATAGTCCCAGCACTTTGGGAGACTAGGGTGGGAAGATCGCTTTGAGGCCAGGCGTTTGAGAACAGCTTGGGCAACATAGTGAGTTCCTGTCTTTACAAAAATAAAAAACCCAGATGTGGTGACATGCACCTGTAGTCCTAGCTACTTGGGAGGGTGAGGTAGAAGGAATGCTTAAACCCAGGAGGTCAAGGTTGCAGTGAGCTGTGATTGCACACCACTGCACTCCAGCCTGAGCAACAGAGCAAGACCCTGTCTCTAAAAAGAAGAATGAAAAGTGGCCGGGCACAGTGGCTCACACCTGTAACCCTAGCACTTTGGGAGGCTGAGGAGGGTGGATCACTTCAGTCCAGGGGTTCAAGACCAGCCTGGACAACATGGCAAAACCCACCTCTACAAAAAATACAAAAATTGGCCAGGTGCAGTGGCTCACTCCTATAATCCCAGCACTTTGGGAGGCCGAGGTGGGCGGATCATCTGAGGTCAGGAGTTCAAGACCAGCCGGGCCAACATGGCGAAACCCCATCTGTACTAAAAATACAAATAAAAAATTAGCTGGGTGTTGTGGTGCACGCCTGTAATCCCAGCTTCTAGAGAGGCTGAGGCAGGAGAATTGGTTGAACCCAGGAGATGGAGGTTACAGTGAACTGAGATCGTGCCACTGCACTTTGGCCTGGGCAACAGAGTGAGACTCCGTCTCAAAAAAAAAAAAAAAAAAAAGTTAGCTAGGGGTGGTGGTACATGCCTATAGTCCTGGCTCCTCTCAGGAGGTTGAGGTGAGAGGATCACCTCTAAGCGTGGAGAGATTGAGGCTACAGTGAGAGCCAAGGTTGCACCACTGCACTCCAGCCTGGGCGACAGAACAAGACTCCATTTAAAAATAAACGATTTTATCATGGATGAGAAGGCCACCTGAAAATATCCAGTGTGCATCAACTCCAAAGGAACTTTCTCCTTGTAACTGCCAGCTATCATCACAGATTCCATTACGATATGAAGTGTTAAGCAGAGAGGTAACAGCTGGCGGAGGGAGAAAGACGGAAATTCTAAGAAATTGCAGTGGGGAAGAGGGGTAAATTTATAACACTGTTGGATTGCTAAACTTTGTATACAAGTTGAGCACGTGGTACTGGGGCTACAATATTTCCTTTCTCATTGTACCAGTTGTACTAGTGTAACAGTTTTCACCAAAAAACTTATTACTGTCGTGCTGCTTAATTGTATCACTGACTGGATTGTCATTTTATTTTCCCTTCTTTAAAAAAATTGACCTTGCCGAGACGGGTGGATCACGAGGTCAGGAGATTGAGACCATCCTGGCTAACACGGTGAAACCCCGTCTCTACTAAAAAATACAAAAAACTAGCCGGGCGAGGTGGCGGGCGCCTGTAGTCCCAGCTACTCGGGAGGCTGAGGCGGGAGAATGGCGTGAACCTGGGAGGCGGAGCTTTCAGTGAGCTGAGATCCGGCCACTGCACTCCAGCCTGGGCGACAGAGCGAGACTCTGTCTAAAAAAAAAAAAAAAAAAAAAATTGACCTTGCCTGTATTTGGTAAGATTGCCAATAATGAAACGTTCAAAATAGGGAATTTGATCCCAGCACTTTGGGAGGCCAAGGTGGGCTGATCATTTGAGGTCAGGAGTTTGAGACCAGCCTGGCTAACACAGTGAAACCCCGTCTCTACTAAGAATACAAAAAATTAGCCGGGCATGGTGGCGGGCGCCTGTAGTCCCAGCTACTTGGGAAGTTGAGGCAGGAGAATGGCGTGAACCCAGGAGGCAGAGCTTGCAGTGAGCTGAAATTGCGCCACTGCACTCCAGCCTGGGCAACAGAGCTAGACTCCATCTAAAAAAAAAAAAAAAAAAAGGGTCAGATTAGCCAGTCTGCTGGCACAGGCCTACAGTCACAGCTTCTCCAGAGGCTGAGGCAGGAGGATCTATTGAGCCCAGGGGTCAAGGCTGCAGTGAGCTGTGATGGTGCCACTGCACCCCGGCTTGAGTAACATAACAAGGCCCTGTCTCAAAAAAATTTTTTAAAAATAAAAAAGCAAGAGCCATTTTTAGCTTGTGGATAATACAAAAACAGGCTACCAGCTAGAATTTGGCCTGTGAGCTACAGCTTGCTGACCATTGTTATAGAAGCTGAGCTCAGACAACAAAAACGAAACTTTTCAGCTATTATGAAGTAACAGAGACTGGATTTACCTTCCTGCCTTAAACAACTAAAAGGTCAGACAAAATATATGAAGTAAGTTTTTCAGGCATTTAACAGGCAAAATAGAACAGTAAGCTCTGAGAGAAGAGAAACAAATGAGGTGAGTCCTATCATTGCCCCAGCTTACCTTCTGGAGAGTTTCCAGGCCACAACACATACAGAGTGAACCTAAGTGGAGCCTGGCAATCTCCCAAAGTTGAGGAGATCACACCACTGCATTCCAGACTGGGAGACGGCGAGACTCCGTCTCCAAAAAAAAAAAAAAAATTAGCTGGGCATGGTGGTGCTCATCTGTAATCTCAGCTACTCAAGAAACTGAGGTAGGAGAATCACTTGAACCCAGGAGATGGAGGTTGCAGTGAGCTGAGATCGCATCATTGCACTCCAGCCTGGGCAATAGAGTGAGACTCCGTCTCAAAACAAAAACAAAAAACAGCAATAACAAATAGGGAATTTTAAAAAGACGGAAACCCATGAAAAATTTAGCCCTTGAATAGATGAGATTATAATCTTTTTTCCTACCAGTTTAATGCTTTTAGAGAATTTTTAAAGAATGTTCAAAAGAATTGCACATATTTAGAAATTTCAGGTATACATTTCTGTCTGATTTTTTAAAGTCTGATTTTTGAAACGTTGAGGAAGAATAGTTGTGGCAGTCCATTAGTTTGGGATAAGTTGTATGAATTTGACTCAGGAGTTAATAGCAAGGGGTTTTTCGTTTCTCTGTGTGTGGTTTTCCTCATCATTGTTGAGCTAAAAAAAAACTTAGCTTATAAGTCTTAAAGGAAAGAGTTTTGAACATGGCAAACTGACACACTGGTTGGCGTTTGGGTTTAGAACTGGAAGCCTTGAAGCAGCGTTTCTGGAAGCATGCTAATCCAGCAGCCAAACCCAGGGCTGGTCACACAGTGAATGTGAACGTCATAGTGAAAGACGTGGGCACTGATGGAAAGGAAGAGCTAAAAGCAGATGTGGTACCTGTGACTTTAGCACCTAAGAAGTTGGATGGAGCAAGCCACACAAAACCAGGTATTTGAGCCCACAGGTTTTGTTTTTTGCTTTTTGCTTTGTATTCTAACAGATCTTCAAGGCTATTGAAAACCTTATAATGAAAAGTTGTAGAATCTTTTTCCTTGGAGACTTTGGACAGCAGTATCTCTGGCATGATTCACGTGTAGCACACCTAGAGGTGTGGGGTGGACAAGCTGGCTTTATTTTTAAAAAATTATCATTTGTCTTATTATAAAAAACAAATACCCATTATAGAAAAATATATAGAATAAATGAAAAATTTAATCTTCTATCAGAGACAGGTTCTATAACCATATTGTGTATCCTTTTAAACTCTCTTCTTTGCACATATGTATATGTATTTAAACAAAAACAGGGTCAGGTGCAGTGGCACAGGCCTGTAATCCTAGCACTTTGGAAGGCCAAGGCAGAAGGATCTCTTGAGCTCTAGAGTTGGAGACCAGCCTGGGCAACATAGTGAGCCCTAATCTCTACCAAAAAAAAAAATTATCCAGGCATGGTGGCATGCACCGTGGCCCCATATACTTGGGAGGCTGAGACAGGAAGATCATTTGAGCCAGGAGGTTGAGGTTGCAATGAGTCATGATTGTGGCACTGCACTCCAGCCTAGGCGAGAGAGTGAGACCCTGTCTCAAAACAAAAACAAAACAACCCACCTAATAATGTGATCATAACATGCATTCTGCTTTGTGTTTTAGAAATGTATTAAGGACAGCTCTCACCGCCCCCCCCCCCCCCCGAAATCACAAATAATATATCACTTGGAAAACAGTTTTAAACACTGAAAAAAGCTATCAAATGAAAAATTAGTCTTCCCAAAGATAACTATTAACAATTTCTTCTATGTCCTTATAGGAGTATTTTTATCCATATACCATTTTTTGTGAATGTGTGTGACATTGAAAATTTACTCCCTGTCAGGCATTGCCCTAGGTTCTTTATATATTTTATCTCATTTAATCCTTACAACCCTATGAGGTAAATAACATTAGTATCCTTATTTTGTATGTGAAGAAACTGATATGCAGAGCACTTAAGCCACTTGCTCAAGTTCACATAGCTAATAAATGGTAAGACCAGTGGTCTAATCCAGACCACCTAACTCCAGAGCTCAGGATCTACTTTATATTGCTTTTGAGGCTTTTTTTTTTATTATTTTAATAAAGAGTCTTGCACTGTTGCCCTGGCTGGAGTGCAGTGGCACGATCTTAGCTCGCTGCAACCTCCACCTCCTGGGTTGAAGCAATTCTCCTGCCTCAGCCTCCCGAATAGCTGGGCTTACAGGTTCCCACCACCATGCCTAGCTAATTTTTGTATTGTTAGTAGAGATGGGGTTTCACTATGTTGGCCAGGCTGGTCTCGAACTTCTGACCTCGTGATCCACCCGCCTTGGCCCCCCAAAGTGCTAGGATTACAGGCATGAGCCACTGCGCCCGGCCTTGAGGCTTTTTTTAAAATGACTGCATAATATTCCATTGAATGAATACAACATGACTCATTAAACCATAATCTTATTGACTGATGTCTTGTTTGTTCCAGTTGTTGCTGTTGCATACAGTGTTATATTATATTATAGTGCCAGATATATGGTGGTATATTAGATGCAAAATTCCTTGCAGTGGAATTGTCATGATATATATCACATTTTGATATATATCATCCAGTTGTCTTTCAGAATGGTTGTACCACTCTGAATCACAGTGTATAAGTTCCTGTTTCCTCTCAATAAGAGGTATTATCAAACCTCCTAATTTTTGCTAAACTAACATGTTGAAAATGTATCTCATTATTTTGATTTGTAGCTCTTTAATTAGAAGTGAGGTTAAGCATTACTTTTAATTTGTTTATTAACAATGTATTTTTATTTTTCTGTGAACTGGCAGTTCATATCATTAGCTCATTTTACTTTTGAGTTGTTTCTCTTTTTTTCTCTCTTTTTTTTTTTGAGACGGAGTCTCGCTCTGTTGCCCAGCCTGGAGTGCAGTGGTGTGATCTCGGCTCACTGCAAGCTCCACCTCCCGGGTTCACTCCATTCTTCTGCCTCAGCCTCCCGAGTAGCTGGGACTACAGGTGCCCGCCACCATGCGTGGCTAATTTTTTGTATTTTTAGTAGAGACGGGGTTTCACTGTGTTAGCCAGAATGGTCTCGATCTCCTGACCTTGTGATCCGCCCGCCTCAGCTTCCCAAAGTGCTGGGATTACAGGAGTGAGCCACCATGCATGGCCTATTTTTCTTTAATATAGGTAAATTTATCAATGTTTTTCTTCATGGCTTTTGAGCCATAGACTTTTGAAGCTCTACTCCCTACCCCCCTTTTCTCTCTTTTGAACAATTATTTTATAATCCCTGAGGAGTATACTATCCAGGGTGCAGAAATTCTCTTCGATACTTCAATTAATAATAATACTCTTGTGTTCAAATAACAAAAAGGCCCAGAAATACTAGAGCCTCAGATTTTCCTTTTGGGATATGACTAGAATACTTCTGGAGTTACCTAAAATGCATACCTAATTGTTGTATTATGTCTAAAGCATTTCTACATATTTCTGTTCAGGTGAAAAGCTTCAGGTGCTAAAAGCTAAACTGCAAGAGGCAATGAAACTCCGAAGGTTTGAGGAGCGCCAGAAGCGCCAAGCACTGTTTAAATTAGATAATGAAGATGGATTTGAGGAAGAGGAGGACGAAGAGGAAGAAATGACAGATGAGTCTGAGGAAGATGGAGAAGAGGAGGTAGTGAAGGAAGAGGAAGAAGAGGAAGAACTGGAGGAAGAGGAGGAAAAAGAAGAGGTAGAGGAAGAAGATGGAAATCAGGAGGTTTCTGGCAATTATGTTGTTTTGTTACCTTGTCATGGTGAATATGAGAGAAAAAGTCAGATTTATATAAGAGTATATAATAAGCATGTTCAATTGTATAAGAGGTTTTAAGGGCATGGTAAGGGTAACTACCCCACATATCCCTAAATCTTAGTATCTTCAGTTCTGTCAGTACCATTAAATATCCGTAGATCATCATTATGTATCTGAATACAGATATTCAGTGGTACTGACAGAATACCATTGCCTGGGCTTCCACCTGTTTGTTTATATATTTTAATATAATAATGCTAATATTAAAAATGGCTTTGTATTTGTAGGAAATTTTATGTTTGTTGTTTATTTAGGTTTCTCTATCAGATTAAAAAGCAGTCCTAACCTTGGCTAGATCAAGGTCTGGAGTAAATTCTCAGGGAGGCAGAGGCCTTTCTGAGTTATTTTCATTTTTTGTTGAAGAAGGCATTTGTAGAGGGGCCTCTTGCCCTTGTTCCGTAGTATTGTCTTCTGCCTAGGGAAAACAGGTGATGATACGATTGTTAAGTATTAAAAAGCTTTCCTTTTTGGGCCGGGCAGGGTGGCTCATGTCTGTAATCCTAGCACTTTGGGAGGCTGAGGTGGGCGGATCACCTGAGGTCAGGAGTTTGAGAACAGCCTAGCCAACATTGTAAAAATCCATCCCTACTAAGAATACAAAGATTAGCTGTGTGTGGTGGCACACCTGTAATCCCAGCTACTCAGGCAGGAGAATTGCTTGAACTCGGGCAGTGGAGGTTGCAGTGAGCCAAGATTGCGCCACTATACTCTAGCCTGAGTGACAGAGTGAGACTCCATCTCAAAAAAAGAAAAGAAAAAAGCTTTCCTTTTTGTATGCTGAGATCACTTATTTTATTTTATTTATTTAAAGTTTTTTGAGATGAGGGTCTCACTATGTTGACCAGACTGGTCTCGAACTCCTGGCTTCAAGTGATCCTCCCATCATTGTGGCCTCCCAAGGTGCTGGGATTACAGGCATGAGCCACCATGCCCAGAAACTTGAGTTAATATTTAGTTTTGGGTAAAGGAGAAAGAAAACAATGGCTGAGCTATACAGACTGTCTCAGTCTGTGCTTGGTTTGAGATCAGTAGTCATCCTGCAATCTTAGACTGATTAATTAACCTCTTATTGCCTCAGTAAAATGATAATCCAGTCGTCCTTTATAATCTTAGCAATTTTGGGAGGGTAAAGGATTAAAAAAATACAAAAAAGTTCTAGAAGTGTCAGGGAAAATTATGTTGATAATGGTCATATGGAACTTCCTTCAAGTTTGCCTTTTTGAATTTAAGATGTTATCAGTAACCAATCAGCCATATTTCAAGCTAACATTGTATTTGCTTTTAAAGTTTTTGACTTGTATTATTTTGTTTTGTGGTGGCATGATTGGTAAAGACTGCAGAATTCCTTCTTAGTAGTGAAGAAATAGAAACCAAAGATGAAAAAGAAATGGATAAAGAAAATAATGATGGCAGTAGTGAAATTGGCAAGGCAGTTGGCTTCCTCTCTGTTCCCAAGTCTCTCTCATCAGATTCTACTTTACTTCTGTTTAAGGACAGCTCTTCCAAGATGGGGTAAGTGATTCTCTCTAAGAAAATTTAAAATTGCCTTGGATTTGCCCCTCCTGTAAAAACTAGGAACAGATACTGAACCAATTTACTTTCTTATTTTACAGTTACTTTCCTATTGAAGAAAAATCAGAAACAGATGAAAACTCAGGCAAACAGCCTAGCAAACTGGGTAAGTAGTGATTCTTGTGCAGAACTTGACATTTCTTTTGTCCCTCAGCTTTGATATTTAAGGACTGCAGTACTGTAAGTTCCCATTTTTTAAAATCTGGTCACTTCCCAGTTTCATATGTGGCAATGAAAGGGGTTTATGAATTAGAATATTTTTCTTGGTCTATTTTTTTGAAAACTTACTTGCAGTTTATTTATAGTAGACCGTGGCACATAATGGCCTTAGTGAATGTGTGTTGATTGAGTGAGCAATGAAATATTTCTATATGTAGATCAAAGGAAGAGGTATAATTGATTGGATAGGCTGGGCGCGGTGGCTCATGCCTGTAATCTCAGCACTTTGGGAGGCTGAGGTGGGCGGATCACGAGGTCAGGAGATTGAGACCATCCTGGCTAACACGGTGAAACCCCATCTCTACTAAAAATACAAAAAATTAGCCGGGCATGGTGGTAGGCACCTGTAGTTCCCAGCTACTTGGGAGACTGAGCCAGGAGAATGGCGTGAACCCAGGAGGCAGAGCTTGCAGTGATACGAGATCGCGCCACTGCACTCCAACCTGGGCAACAGCGAGACTCCGTCTCAAAAAAAAAAATAATAATAATAATAATTAATTGGATAATGAAGAGTGTGATCATAGGCATTAGGAAGGATAAGAGAAAGAAGAGAACTTTCTGCTGGACGCAGTGGCTCACGCCTGTAATCCCAGCACTTTGGGAGGCCGAGGCAGGCGGATCATGAGGTCAGGAGATCGAGACCAGCCTGGCTAACATGGTGAAACCCTGTCTCTACTAAAAATACAAAAAATTACCTGGGTGTGGTGGCATGCGCCTGTAGTCCCAGCTACTTGGGAGGCTGAGGCAGGAGAATCGCTTGAACCCAGGAGGCAGAGGTTGCAGTGAGCTGAATTTGCGCCACTGCACTCCAGCTGGGGCGACAGAGCGAGACTCCATCTCAAAAAAAAAAAAAGAACTTTCAAGTGTCACTTAGCTCAGAGTAATAAGCCCTGATTATATAATGCTATCTTAGTACTGTAATTTACCTTTAACTTAATGTTTTGGAACATATAACTTGAGGGGTTTGCCTATGAATTTTATCTGACAGTTTCATCCTCAACTCTTTTTCCTAAACAAATCCACCTTATTTCTGTAATCATGAACTTAAAAGGTGTTTCTCTTTCTTTAGATGAGGATGATTCATGTTCATTGCTAACGAAGGAGAGCAGCCACAATAGCAGCTTTGAGCTGATTGGCTCCACGATTCCATCCTATCAGCCTTGCAACAGACAAACAGGCCGTGGGACCAGTTTTTTGCCTACAGCAGGAGGATTCAGATCTCCTTCCCCTGGGCTATTTCGAGGCAGTTTGGTCAGCTCAGCTTCTAAGGTAAGATGGTAATGGTTTTTCTAATCTCCTCCTCTCTTTGCTTCCCACATTGCTAAATAAAGTTTGTCCCAGCCAACCAACTCCCACCACTTTGGTACTGAGCTTATGTGTGTTCAGTTTAAAAAATCCACCCCCTTTGTGTATTAAAAACAAGCTTCATCCAGTATTCTTACTTTCCTGGAGGTATTTTTCTTTATGCTTCTCATTGCTGTGTATTGTCCTCCTCAATTGCAGTTTCCTGAGAGTAGCTTAAATATTGCAAAGAGCAACTTCTGTTGTTGTCATGACAATGAATGACACTTGTAAAATGTTTTGTTATTGTTTGTTTTTGTTTGGGTGCCAGAGTTCAGGGAAACTGTCTGAGCCTTCACTTCCCATAGAGGATTCCCAGGATCTGTATAACGCCTCCCCAGAGCCTAAGACACTTTTCCTAGGAGCAGGAGACTTCCAGTTCTGTTTAGAAGATGACACTCAGAGCCAACTGTTGGATGCAGATGGGTAGGTAGTTTTGTGTTTCTGTGGGTGGGAATGGTTCTGGGTACTGCTTAATTTTGTTTAAAAATAAGTAAGCTTCTGTCACTCCATCTGTGCTTTCTCTTCTGAGAAAGAGAAGGTGTACAGACCATTAGTATTACATTCTATAAGTTTGAACAAAGTCTGTCCAGAAAATAAACATAAATAGCTCTTGCTAACATTCTGGTCCTTCAATTTCTGTCTTACTTGAAATGCATAGATCTTGTATTGTAAGGTCATCAAATTTCCCTGTATCCATCCTACTATGTTATTATTGTTGGGTAAGGCTGAGAATTCACAGACTGGTGGCACATTACAGGACATAATGCCAAGCCCTGCTCTAACATCATCTGAAGCTAAAAGTTATCCTTTACACTTTACCTTCTGAGTGACATTTTATTCTTTCACAAAACTTTTCCCTCCCTCTTTAGATTAACACAAGCCTAAAGTTTGAATCTTTTGCTTTCTGGTTTGAGATTCAGCTTTTAACTGGTGTTGGAAATGAATTCAGAGGTTTTTCACCCCCTACTTTGCCATTTCTCTGAGGAATTTTTTACACTATTCGTTGTGCTCATTGGCTCTTAGGTTCTTAAATGTTAGAAACCACAGGGATCAGTACCAAGCTTTGAAGACTCGATTGCCATTGGCCAGTATGGATGAGAATGCCATGGATGCCAACATGGATGAGCTGTTGGATTTGTGTACTGGAAAGTTTACATCTCAGACTGAAAAACATCTACCCAGGAAGAGTGACAAGAAAGAGAACATGGAGGAACTTCTGAACCTTTGTTCAGGAAAATTCATTTCTCAGGGTAAATATCCAACAGAGAGCATCAGGCTTACCACACCCAAGTATCAGTGTCCTTGAAAAGAATTCCCTGTGCGGGTGGGGTGGCTCATGCCTGTAATCCTAGAACTTTGGGAGGCTGAGTTGGATGGATCGCTTGAGCTCAGAAGTTTGAGACCAGCCTGGGCAACATGGCAACTCCCCATCTCTATGGAAAAAAAAAAAAAATTAGCTACACATGGTGACACGTGCCTGTGGTCCTAGCTACTTAGGAGGATCTCTTGAGCCTGGGAGGTGAAGGCTGCAGTGAGCTGAGATCACACCACTGTACTCCAGCCTGGGTGGCAGAGACCCTGCCTAAAAATAGAAAAAAAGAAAGAAAGAAGTCCCTTAACCTCAGGTGAAAAGTTCACAGAAAACAGGACTGTGATGGAATCTATATAAATTGAATTCACTGCTTAGTGCCCTGACATTTAGAAATTTTACTTTCTTAGAGTGGTAAAGTATCAACTTAAGAATACTTTAGGCCACACACGGTGGCTCATGCCTGTAATCCCAGCACTTTGGGAGGCCAAGGCGGGTGGATTGCCTGAACTCAGGAGTTTGCAACCAGCCTGGGTAGCAAGGTGAAACCCTGTCTCTACTAAAATACAAAAAATTATCTGGGCGCGGTGGCCCGTGCCTGTAATCCCAGCTACTTGGGAGGCTGAGACAGAAGAATTGCTTGAACCCCAGAGGCGGAGGTTACAGTGAGCTGAGATCGTGCCACTGCACTCCAGCCTGGGCAAAAGAGAGAGACTCTGTCTCAGAAAAAAAAGACTGCTTTAGCTTTGCCCATATGATATATCATTTATGATTAATGTATGTACAAAGTTTAGAACAGTGTCTGATGTATAATAAATTTCACATAAATGTTAACTTACTTCCTGTCCCCTGCCCCCAACGCACACAACTGCTATACTGAACATAAGCTCTATGAGATCTGGGATAGTGGTTTGTTCATTACTGTATCCCTGGTGGCCTGGCACATATGGCACATAGTAAGCACTAAATAAGGATTTGTTGAATGAATAGATGGTAGGTTCTTCTTGGCAAGCTTACCTTAGAACTGTATCGAGCTGGCATGACTTTAGATGGCTGGGAAAAGAGTATAAAGCTATCATTCCTTGGTGACACATTTTTTCCTTGTTGTGATGTAGATGCCTCCACTCCGGCCTCATCAGAGTTAAATAAGCAGGAGAAGGAGAGCAGCATGGGTGATCCAATGGAAGAAGCACTTGCTCTTTGCTCAGGCTCTTTTCCAACAGACAAGTAAGTCTCAGATTGCTGGGAACTTGGGAAGGCCTGGCCTTTTGATAAAATCAAAATAACTGATCATCTTAAGGGCTTTACACCTTTTCTGAGAATCTTGCAGTGGATTTGAGTCTCATATATGCCTAGTAAGCAAATTATAATGCTTTGGTGGAGAACAGGGTAAAAAAGGCAAGAATATGAAAGATATTTAATATCATTAATAGGGAAATGCCAATTAAAACCACAGTGAGACACCCATTAAGATGACTTTTATCAAAAAACCTAAAGAGTGTTAGTGAGAATGTGGAGAAATTGGAAACCTTGTGTACTATTGGTGAGAATGTAAAATAGTGCAGCTGCTAGGGAAAGTATGATGGCTTCTCAAAAATTAAAAATAGAGGCCAGGTGCGGTGGATCACCTGAGGTCAGGAGTTTGAGACCAGCCTGACCAACGTGGTGAAACCCTGTCTCTACTAAATACAAAAAATTAGCTGGGCATGGTGGCACATGCCTGTAATCCCAGCTACTTGGGAGGCTGAAGCAAGAGAATTGCTTGAACCCAGGAGGCAGAGGTTGTAGTGAGCCAAGGTCATGCCATTGCACTCCAACCTAGATAATAAGAGCAAAACTGTGTCTCAAAATAAATAAATAAATAAATAAAATAAAAATAGAATGACCATATGATCCAGCAATTTCACTTCTTAGTCTATACCCCAAAAAAGTGAAAGCAGGACTTGAACAGATATTTGCACCCCCATGTTCAAAGCAGCATTATTCATAGTAAGTAGTCAAAACATGAAAGCAACCTATGTTTATTGACAGATGAATGGGTAAACAAAATGCGGTATATATATATGCAATGGAATATTCAGCCTTAAAATGGAAATGCTGGCTGGGCATGGTGGCTCACACCTGTAATCCCAACACTTTGGGAGGCTGAGGTGGGTGTATCACTTGAGCTTAGGAGTTTGAGAGCAGCCTGGATAATATGGCAAAACCCCATCCCTATAACATGATTGTGCCACGGCACTCTGGGCATCAGAGCAAGACCCTGTCTCAAAGAAAAGGAAGTTCTGACACTTGCTACAACATGGATGAACCTTAGGATGTTATGCTAAAAGAAATAAGCCAGTCACCAAAAGACAAATACTGTATGAGTCCACTTACATGAGGTACTTAGAGCAGTCAAATGCATAGAGACAGAAGGTAGAATGGTGGTTGCCACAGACTGAGGTTATGGGGAAATGGAGAGTTTAATGGGTATACAGTTTTAGTTTTGCAAGCCAAAAAAGAGTTCTGGAGATTGCTTAACAATATGAATGTACTTAATACTACTGAATTATAGAAAGATCGTTAAAAAGGCAAATTTTATATTATGTGTATTTTACCACAATTGAAAATTAAAAAAATTTTCTTCCTGTTTCTTGAAGAGATTTTTGGTGATAATAGAAGTTTTAAATTTGGCCAGGTGAGGTGTCTCATACCTAGAATCCCAGTACTTTGGGAGCCCAAGGCGAGCAGATTGCTTGAGCCCAGAATTCAAGAAGAACCTGAGCAACATGGTGAAATCTGTCTCTACAGAAAATACAAAAATTAGCTGAGCATGGTGGCTTTGTACCTCTAGTCCCAGCTACTCAGGAGGCTGATGTGGGAGGATCACTTGAGCCCTGGAGGTGGAGGTTACAGTGAGCTGAGATGGTGCCAGTGTACTCCAGGTGGTGTAAGAGACCAAGACTGTCTCAGAGAAAAAAAAAAAAAAATTACACAAAACTTTTTTTAATTCCTAACTTGGCTGACTACTTGTAGTTTGCTTTCAACAATTTATTTATTGATTCATTGATTTACATTTTAGGGAAGAGGAAGACGAGGAGGAGGAATTTGGAGACTTCCGGCTTGTCTCAAATGATAATGAGTTTGATACTGATGAGGTGAGTATGAAGGGAACAAAGTAATCATAACTGAACTCCACGTATTGCTGCCCTCAAGTGTTTTTTTCCTCTCAGTTCTTGAGAATTCTAAATTTGGCATCTTATCAGAAACAATTTCATAGAGTGAGGTGTTTGGGCAGATGTTTATAAATCCTTTTTTCATGGAGGACACATTTTATTCTGCTTAATTTGGATATGATGCTGATTTTGTAGGATGAACACAGTGACTCTGGTAATGAAGACCTGGCACTGGAAGACCATGAAGATGATGATGAAGAAGAACTCCTGAATCGATCTGAGAAGTTGAAAAGGCAAATGTAGGTGTTATTAATATGTCCATTCCTTCAGGTGTATTTAAAAGTTGGTCACTAGGCCAGGCATGGTGGCTTGCACCTGTAATCCCAGCACTTTGGGAGGCTGAGGCAGGCGGATCACCTGAGGTCAGCAGTTCAAGACCAGCCTGGCCAACATGGTGAAACCCTGTCTCTACTAAAAAATATAAAAATTAGCAAGATGTGATGGCAGGCGCCTGTAGTCCCAGCTACTCGGGAAGCTGAGGCAGAGAGAATTGCTTGAACCCAGGAGGCGGAGGTTGCAGTGAGCCGAGATCGCACCACTGTATTTCAGCCTGGGTGACAGAGCAAGACTCTGTCTCAAAAAAAAAAAAAAAAAAAAAAAGTTGATCACTTAATATGTCCTGTGTGCTAATAACTGTGCTTTACAGTCATTAACATATTATCTTATGCTGGGTGCAGTGGCTCAGGCCTGTAATCCCAGAACTTTGGGAGGCCAAGGCCGGCGTATCACTTGAGGTCAGGAGTTTGAGACCAGCGTGACCAACATGGTGAAACCCTCTCTACTAAAAATACAAAATACAAAATAAAATACAAAAATTAGCCAGGTATGGTTCCAGGCGCCTGTAGTGCCAGCTACTTGGGAGGCTGAGGCAGGAGAATTGCTTGAATCCAGGAGGCGGAGGTTACAGTGAGCTAAGATTGCCCCATTGCACTCCAGCCTGGGTAATACAGCAAGACTCCGTCTCAAAAAAAAAATATGAGTGAGTACTATTCTCATTTTACAGTTGAAGGAACTGAGCCTCAGAAAGACTAAATTTACCCAAGATCACATAGCTAGAAGGTAGCAGAGGCTGGATTCAACTTAGATTAGGTAAAATCTCCCCTAACAGTCAAGTTAATAGTTTGCCACTTTTTTTTTTTTGAGATGGAGTCTCGCTCTGTTGCCCAGGCTGGAGTGCAGTGGCACGATCTCCACTCACTGCAAGCTTCGCCTCCCAGATTCACACCATTCTCCTGCCTCAGCCTCCTACGTAGTTGGGACTACAGGTGCCCGCCACCGCGCCCGGCTAATTTTTGTATTTTTAGTAGAGACGGGGTTTCACCGTGTTAGCCAGGATGGTCTCGATCTTCTGACCTCGTGATCCGCCCGTCTCAGCTTCCCAAAGTGCTGGGATTACAGGCGTGAGCCACCGCGCCCGGCCAGTTTGACACTTTTTAACTTAAATCCTCCTGCCTCAGCTTCCCAAGTAGCTGGGACTACAGGCATGTGCCACCACACCTGGCTAATTCTTTTTACTTTTTGTAGAGATGGGGCCTTGCTTTGTTCCCAGGCTGGTCTTAAACTCCTGGCCTCAAGTGATCCTCCTGCCTCAGCTTCCCAAAGTCTGGGATTACAGGCATGAGCCACCAGGTCCAGCCTTTTTTTTTTGAGACGGAGTCTTGCTCTCCAGGCTGGAGAGCAGTGGCATGATCTTGGCTCACTGCAACCTCCGCTTCCTGGGTTCAAGTGATTCTCCTGCCTCAGCCTCCCAAGTAGCTGAGCCTATAGGCGCGTGCCACCACACCCAGCTAATTTTTGTATATTTAGTAGAGACGGGGTTTCACTATGTTGGTCAGGATGGTCTCGATCTCTTGACCTCACAATCTGCCTGCCTTGGCCTCCCAAAGTGCTGGGATTACAGGCGTGAGCCACCCCACCCAGCCGGCCCAGCTTATTTTTTTGATATGTTGTTCTGGTCATGAAAGTAAAATATTTATTTTAGGATATTTAAAAGAATACAAACCGGGTGCGGTAGCCCACGCCTATAATCTCAGCACTTTGGGAAGCTGAGGCAGGTGGATCACCTGAGGTCAAGAGTTCGAGACCAGCCTGGCCAACATGGCGAGAACCCATTTCTACTAAAAATACAAAATTAGCCAAGCGTGGTGGCCAGTGCCTGTAATCCCAGGAGGCAAGGCTGGAGAATCGCTTGAACTGGGAGTTGGAGGGTGCAGTGAACTGATATTGTGCCATTGCATTCCAGCCTGGGCAATGAGAGAAACTCCATTCCCTCCCAACCCCCCCAAAAAAAAGAATACAGAGAGATATAAATAAAAAGTTATCCATGTCCACCATCCAGGATATAAATGAAAGTTAGTTAGTTCCTCTTAATCTTTTTTATGCATATATTTTTATATAGTTGAGATTTGTACAATCTTTTTATGTGTATAATTTTGCATTTTTTTCTAATTAGCATATCCAGAAACATTTTCCTATGATGTTAAAAAGTTTTATAAAGACAATTCTTATAGGTATTTAATATTATATTATATGTGAATGATTTGGAATTCACATATAGGACATCATATTGATCCCTATTAGATTTATATGGTTGCTTTTATCCCATAATTTCATTCTGTTAAGATTCACTTTGGGTTCTAATCTGTCACCTGTCAAATTAACTCTCATACAGCTTTAGGTCATCCATAGATTTTTCTAAGGTAGTGGTTCTTATCTGCAGAGCTCTTTGTTCAAATAAAATCTTTTAAAGAATAACAGATGAAAGTTGAACTGTTCAAAGACAGTAAGTGGGAAGTTTGGGAAACTTAGTGACTAGTGGCCCCTGAAGGAATTTTCCAGGAACCCTAGGATTTAGAACAACTTAGCTTTAAGAAAATACAGTGTAGGCTGGGCGTGGTGGCTCACGCCTGTAATCCCAGCACTTTGGAAGGCTGAGGCGGACAGATCACCTGAGGTCAGGAGTTCAGGACCACCCTGGCCGACATGGTGAAACCCTGTCTCTACTAAAAAAACAAAAATTAGCCAGGCATGGTGGCACGCACCTGTAATCCCAGCTACTTGGGAGGTTGAGGCATGAGAATCGCTTGAACCCAGAAGATGGAGGTTGCAGTGAGTCGAGATGGCGTCTCTGCACTCCAGCCTGGGCGACAGAGCAAGACTTCATCTCAAAAAAAAAAAAAAAAAAATACAGTATAGGTCTTTGATAAAAATCAGTTTTTAGAAGGCCACCAAACTTCTGCCATTTTGGACCACATGGGACCAAGATGATTTTGAATCCAGGGTGACAACAGATTTGTTCTTGGGGGAGCTGAAGTCAAAAGAAGTAACTAGTAGTCGTTTTGATTACCAGGAGCTCTGAGCCTCAGTCTTCCTTCTGATGTGGGGGTCAAGATTTGTTAGGCTGTAAGAAGGTCCCAGTTTATTACCTTTCTACACCACACCATCTCTAGTTTGTCTAGTAAAGCTGGTGTGCTCAAATGCAAAACAAAATAGTTTGAACCTTCCAGCAGGTATTCTAATACAGGTAGAAGAGATTAAGAGTTTTCTGGCTTTCAAATCACCCAATCTAAGTTGAATCCAGGCTCTGCTACCTTCTAGCTATGTGACCTTGGGTAAATTTAATCTTTCAGAGGCTCAATTCCCTCAACTGTAAAATGAAAAGAATAATAGTATCCATTCCTAAGATAATATGTTAATGCCTGTAAAGCACAGTTATTAGCACACAAGACATATTAAGTGATCAACTTTTAAATACAGATGCTCCACATCTTACAATGGGCTATATCCTGATTAATCCATCCTAAGTTGAAAATGCACTTTCAGCTTATCTAGCTGTAACTCCATCGTAAATTGAGAAGCATACTAAGTGCGTATCACATTCATGTCATCGTAAAGTTGAAAAATCATCAAGTCAAACCATCATAAGTAGGACACTATTACCAAAAAAATTTAAATATTATCAAATGTATTATGTTTATTATTATTAGAAGTGGCTCTGTGTTCTGCTTTTCTCTGCTTCCATATTCTGTGAGTATATTCATTGTTGCATTTTCTAATCCTCAAAATTGCTTTCTAGGAGGTTGAGGAAGTACCTGGAGGATGAGGCAGAGGTGTCAGGAAGTGATGTGGGAAGTGAAGATGAGTATGATGGGGAAGAAATTGATGAATATGAAGAGGACGTAATTGATGAAGTACTTCCTTCTGATGAGGAACTACAGAGTCAAATCAAGAAAATACACATGTCAGTATCCCAACAAGCCCTTCTGAGTAATAGGGTACGTCTTAAGCCCTATAACCAGCCAGAATGGTCCTTGTTTTGAGCACCCTATTTCTTCTGTTGCAGGAAAACTATGTTGGATGATGATAAGCGACAGCTACGTTTATACCAAGAGAGGTACCTTGCTGATGGGGATCTGCACAGCGATGGTCCTGGGCGAATGAGGAAGTTTCGATGGAAAAACATAGGTATCCTGGTTGTTGTCTTTAAATGCAATCAGTTATGGGCTGGGTGTGGTGGCTCACGCCGGTAATCCCAACACTTTGGAAGGCAGAGGTGGGCAGATCACAAGGTCAGGAGTTCAAGACCAGCCTGAAAAACATGGTGAAACCCCACCTCTACTAAAAGTAACAAAAATTAGCCAGACGTGATGGCATGCACCTGTAATCCCAGCTACTCAGGAGGCTGAGGCAGGAGAATTGCGTGAACCCGGGAGACAGAGGTTGCAGTGAGTGGAGATCACACCATTGCACTCCAGCCTGGGTGACAGAGCGAGACTCCATCTCAAAAAAAAAAAAAAAAAAGGCAAACAGTTATAATTCACATTTGTCCAGTTTCAGATGGCAAGTGGCAAGCAAAACTATAACAGGCTATGTGAAGACCTAGTTGTAACTGTTGTTTTCTGTTAGAGGATGGGAAAAGTTTACATCATTATGTAGTAAATGATAAGGGTTTATTTTTTGTCTGTCCAAGCACCCTCTCCTGTGAGGACTGCCGAATGCTGATTACCTTCACTCTTTGTTTAGATGATGCTTCCCAGATGGACTTGTTCCACAGAGACTCTGATGATGATCAGACTGAAGAACAGCTTGATGAGTCAGAAGCCAGGTGGAGGAAGGAGCGAATTGAACGAGAGCAGTGGCTTCGGGACATGGTAGGAGTTCATCTACTCTGACCCTAGTTTATGAGACTGTCACTTAGCTTGTCATGATAGTTTCAAAATCTTAGGCAATATATTGCTATCTTTTTTAATCCTCGAGCTATCTTTTGTGTTTTGAGAAGGCTATACCATGGACAGTTCTCTTCGTGTTTGTCTAAGATTAATTTTTTTTGTCTAAAGCAGCAAAGGCTGCAAAAAGGAAAACAAATATCCCAGGAACTCTAGATTCACAATCCAGGCCATACTATTTAGGAAGGCTATAGACTTTTTTTAATGCTGTATAATTTTTTTTTCAGGCACAGCAGGGGAAAATTACAGCTGAAGAAGAAGAAATTGGGGAGGACAGTCAGTTTATGATACTGGCCAAGAAAGTTACAGCCAAAGCACTGCAGAAGAATGGTGAGCTCTTGTTTCTCCTTAGGGTCTAGCCCCCTGGATTGTTAGTGGTAGAGCTTTGGAGGTGACTAACCTTCAGGAGCTATTGCAGCTTAATCATAAGCTTGTGTCTAATACTGTCTTAAAGAGGTTTCTCAGAGGTGGTGGGAGACCGTGTACTTAGACCTTAGACTATTGGGCAGTAGAGACTGTATTTGTGAGTATATGTGGCTGGTTTTACTTTATATTCTAAGGCTCAGAGTAGTTAATTCTGGCTTTCTCTATTTAGTTGCCCAGAATTGTATACCCAAGTGTTAGAGGTGGGATTTGAATCCAGGAATATTTAACTCCAAAAAGCTCTTCACTATTCCATACACTTACCACTTCTGTTTTTCTTAAATGATTACTGTTCAACTTAGTTGTGTCTCTTCTTGGAGCCAATTATTATAGTTTCAAAGTCACCATTATATAGAACAGAGTTCCCATGGCTTTAGCATATTGATTTAGTTATAAGATTTCTTAACTTGTTTAGAGTTAAAAGTAATTCTAATCAGCTTTTCCCAGAATAGGCCTCTCTGTCTTTTCTTTCCAGCCAGTCGCCCTATGGTTATTCAGGAATCAAAGTCTTTGCTCAGAAATCCTTTTGAAGCCATCAGACCGGGAAGTGCTCAACAGGTTGGTTGGGAACCTTGTTAATCTGACATCATAGTCTACAGGTTATAAACGCCCAGGTCCAGCTTAGGGAATAGCCTCTGTCATTGGAGGAAGGAGGTGGCTGCAGGGAAAGAGTTAATGTCAAAGAGTCTGCTATTTCTTTTCTATTTGAATAGGGTAGGAATATGTACCCTCAATATCTAGGGGGAAGCAGGGAGGGAAAGACTTTTCATTCTTTAGTGATACCAGATGACTCTTCTTTCCTCAGGTGAAGACAGGCTCACTGCTAAACCAGCCCAAAGCTGTGCTTCAGAAACTGGCTGCTCTCTCTGACCGTAACCCCAGTGCTCCTCGAAATTCAAGAAACTTTGTCTTTCATACACTTTCTCCTGTCAAGGCTGAGGCGGCAAAGGAATCGTCTAAGTCTCAGGTATGGAATTTGAGAACTAATATGGTGGCTTCCCAAACCAGAATTTATTTATTTATTTACATTTAAAAACAAAAATTCTGGCTTAACCTCTTTATGCTGCAATGTTGAAATTTTGCACTCCCCGATAAGGTACAAGAGAATTGCTACCCCTAGTAGGTAATCAACTTTTAAACTTGCCTAGAAAGTTTATCTTTCTTTTTTTCTGTTGTTAATCATCCACAATTTATGAGTTGCTTGAGAGCTAATTGAAGGTAAGTACTTGTATGAAGGTCTTAAGCTGGCTCTGACTCCCTTTGCTCTCTAGGTAAAGAGAAGGGGTCCATCTTTCATGGCTTCTCCTTCACCTAAGCGCCTCAAAACAGAAGATAGCACTTCAGGATTGAAGCGAAGCATCTTCAAATACTTGGAGAGCTAACACCATCAAAGTTGCCAAAATCTACATTGAGACTGCTTTGAGAAGTTCCTAGCACTGAAAGTTGGAATTGACACTCAAGCCAACGATCCTTCCTTCCTTCATAATCAATGCAATAAGATTGCAGACAGAAATTCCTGTTCTTTCTACTGCACAGCTCTGGACATCTCTTTTCCTAGTATTATTCCCTGGATTGGCCACTGATCTCAGTTCTGCAGTATTTACAACATCAACAACTCATGGAATACTTGGGTGAGGTTTGTTTTTTTTTGAGATGGAGTCTCACTCTGTTGCCCAGGCTGGAGTGCAGTGGCATGATCTCGGCTCACCGCAACCTCCGCCTCCCAGGTTCAAGCGATTCTCCTGCCTCAGCCTCCCAAGTAGCTGGCATTACAGGCGTGTGCCGATATGCCCAGCTAGTTTTTGTATTTTTAGTAGAGACAGGGTTTCACTATGTTGGCCAGGCTGGTCTTGAACTCCTGACCTCAAATGATCCACCCGCTTCGGCCCCGCAAAATGCTGGGATTACAGGCATGAGTCACCGCACCTGGCCTTGGGTTAGGTTTCACTTCTTCTGTTAAACATTTGACATTTTATCCTAGCAGCTTTCTGGGTTAATATCTCTTTGTGATAGAAGTGGTTGGAAGAGGAAGAGTAGGGAAAAGTGTGACATTACAGATTAAACAGTGAAAATCAGTTCCACAATGACTCCTTTACACCTATAATATGTGTACCATGATGACCAGGGTTCAGTGAAAGAAAGATTTCTTTTCTTTTTTTTTTTTTTTTTTGAGACAGTCTCACTTTGTTGCCTAGTCTGGAATGCAGTGGCGCATTTTGGCTCATGGCAGCCTCTGCCTCCCGGGTTCAAGTGATTCTCCTGTCTCAGCCTCCCAAGTAGCTGAGACTACAGGCGCATGCTACCACACCCGGCTAATTTTTGTATTTTTAGTGGAGACAGGGTTTCACCATGTTGGCCAGGCTGGTCTCGAACTCCTGACCTCAAGTGATCCAGCTGCCTCAGCCTCCCAAAGTGCTGAGATTACAGGCATGAACCACACTGTGCCTGGCCAAAAGAAAGATTTATTAGAGGACCTAGGAACCAATAGATGGGCTGCTGTGTTATTCTTACCCCTTTCATTTTCCTGTATGCTTCTTCCCAAGCCAGCATCAAATTTTGAATTAATTTTTGCTGCTTAATAAGGACTTAAACTGGTACCCAAGTCAGAAAGACTGGCTCTAATTTTCTGGAGCTTGGGGATGAAGATAAAGCGTTATATCCAGTGTTTGTCCACCACAGTCTATGAGGCAGAGAGACCTTCCCTGGGACTGAATTCTCAATTTGAAGCACTGTTGTTCAAAGACCTCCCTTCTGGGTCTGACAAGAAGAAACATAACCATTATTTATTGCATTCTCCTGGCTTACATACATTGCCCTCACTAGTCAATCGACATTTCAGTATTTCATTACTAATTCTGAGAGAAGACCACCATGGAATTTTAAAAAATATTATTGAAGAGAATTGCCATCATTCTCCATTTGCCCTGAACTACCACAAGCTTCTTAGAATTTTAGACAAATGTTTTTCCCCTCAGAACTGAGCATCAATACTGCTTTCAAAAAACATTCCATGTGAATACTGTGGTTTCAGTGTCAGGACCTGGACTTGGGAAGGTGGAAGAGAGTGTGCAAGTTTTTTATTGGGAGATGGGAACACCAATTTAATCGATGCAATTAGGTTGTAGGTTTTCTACAGTTTTTCTTTTCTTTCCTCTTTCCTCTTTTCTTTTCTTTTTCTTTTTCTTTTCTTTTCAACATAGGCTGGCTCTGTCTCCTAGGCTACCCAGGTTCCAGCAATTCTCCTGCCTTGGCCTCCTGAGTAGCTGGGATTACAGGTGTCCACCACCACACCCAGCTAATTTTGTGTATTTTCAGTAGAGATGGGGTTTCGCCATGTTGGCCAGGCTGGTCTTGAGCTCCTGACCTGAGGTGATCCACCCGTCTCAGCCTCCCAAAGTGCTGGGATTACAGGTGTGAGCCACTGCACCCAGCCAGTTTTTTAATACTCAAGATGTTGACTTTGACAATACTTATGTTTGTATATTTGTAATCTTATAATGGGGGAAATGTGTATAAAGATGTTTTAATATGTATGTAGTTTTTCAATAAATCTTAATGCCTTGAAGATTTGCTGTCCAGCTTCAATGTTCATTCTTAGGTCAGTGCCTATCTAACCTTGAAGAGCATTTCATTTTCAGGTTATCTCCATCCCAGGGAAACCCTCTGGGTCTAAAATGAGAGGCTGCTGCAATTGTCCCCTCACTGGCTTCTCAGTCCTAGTGAATTGATCAAGTTAACTTACCAAGTGGTTTGGGTTCAGCTCAGGTGAAGAGGATAATTGAGTTTACATAAATGGTACCTTCTATTATAACTCTTTAAAAAAAAAAAAAAAAATTTTTAGAGACAGTCTCATTCTGTTGCCCAGGTTAGAATGCAATGGCACAATCATAACTCACTGTACCCTTGAACTCCTGGGCTTCAGCATCCTCCTTCCTCAACCTTTGGAAGAGCCGGGCCACATTACAGGCACATGCCACCATGCCCAGTTAATTATTTTATTTTAGTAGAGACAGGGTCTTGCTGTGTTGCCCCAGCTGATCTTGAGCTCCTGGCCTCAAGTAATCCTCCCACCTTGGCCTCCCAAAATGCTGGGGTCACAGGCTCAGCCACCATGCCCAGCCTGTTACAGCTTTGATTGGCCTTTCTCTTTAACTGAGTTTGTATGTACTTCATTTTATCCATGGGTTCAAGATAAGTATTTTTGCCTTTTTCTTTGAACTCTCTAAACAGTGCCCAAGGCAAGGTGGCCTTTGCTGGGCCAAACAGAACTGAGCAGGAAGGCTAGATATTTCTCCCCTCTTGTTTCCCTACATGTCTTTTAGGGAGAGATGGAAAAGACAATTGGAATTGACAACTGAGGATAAGAAAATTCAGCCAGGTGGCGGTGGCTCACGCCGGTAATCCCAGCACTTTAGGAGACTGAGGTGGGTGCATTGCTTAAACTCAGGAGTTCGAGACCAGCCTGGGCAACATGGTGAAACCCTGACTCTATAAAAAAAAAAAAAAGGAAAGGGAGGGAGGGAGGAAAGGAAAGAAAGAAAGGAAAGAGAAAGAAAGAAAGAAAGGAAAGAAAGAAAATTTGTGCCTGAGAAATCCAGGGAGAAAATGGTTTCTGGGCCCAGCATGGTGGCTCACATCTGTAATCCCAGCACTTTGGGAGGCCGAGGTGGCTGGATCACCTGAGGTCAGGAGTTGGAGACCAGACTGACCAACAAGGTGAAACCCCGTCTCTACTAAAAATACAAAAATTAGCCAGGCGTGGTGGTGGTAGGCGCCTGTAGTCCCAGCTACTTGGGAGGCTGAGACAGGAGAATTGCTTGAACCTGTGAGGTGGAGGTTGCAGTGAGCTGAGATCGCGCCACTCTACTCCAGCATGAGCAACAGAGTGAGACTCCCTCTCAAAAAAAAAGAAAGAAAGAAAGAAAATAGTTTCTGATTGAGGCTCCTGGGAGAAAGCCCTCTTTGGAGAAAGAAAACTTGAGCCTTAAACTCTGGGTTACTTTTCCTTATGCCAGGATAGCTGCTATAAAGTAAGCTAAGCCTTGATCTTGGTAACAGCATTGAAATGGACAGTTTTGATCTGACCCTTATGCCCTTTGCCCAAAGCACTGAGCCAGCAGTATCAGCTATGTTTTAATGAAATTGAAGCCCCAGGACCTGACACTATGGCTCGCAGGAGGACTCAGCTCCACTAGCTTGGAAATTACATATTTGGAGGGATCAGAGCCCATGAGTGTGGGAGATAGGGTATGCTCAGTGTCAGTCAATCTTTTTGTTTCTTCCTTGTTCCATACGCTTGAGTAGGGATACATGGTATTAACCTTAAACAGGTCTCTAATTTCATCTCATTAATTCACAGTTGCACAGCCATACTAGGGTCTCTTCCATAAACCATAAGATTTTATTCACCAAAGCTCTAGAGACAAGGTGCTCAGATCTCTGGCATCCCTCATTTTCTCAACTGCTTCTCTGCAAACTTCTGCTCACTTTGAGAGTTTCTAATGCTCAGGCTGGAAGACTTTTTAGGGGGTGTTTTTGGTTTTTATCTCCTAGGGTTATGTCTAATCACTCTTGGGGCATCCTGTCCTGAGATTTGTGCACCTAAGGATAGAGTATTTCTGGGAGGAGTGTTCCCATGATACTATTTGATTATGTCATCCTTGAGATGGTATTGTATCTTCTACCCTTATATCCTACTCATGGCCTGGCACACAGTTTGGAATGTAGTGGTGCCTACCACAGTTTGAATAAATAACACTACACCTTTCACAGCCTCTGTCTATAAAATGAGGATAGTAAGTCATGGCTGTCTCAGAGTTGCTGGGGGGCTTCAGTTGGAAAATGTATGTCAGTGCATTATGTCAAGTGCCACTCTGTAAGCATAAGAAATTGCCAGTAGCTCCCAGAAAAAAAGAAATTCACCTCCTTTGAGAATGAAAGAAAGAAATTACCACTATCACAATTATATCATATTTTGTAGGCCACTTTTTTTTTTTTTTTTTTTTTTTTTTTTTGAGACGGAGTCTCGCTCTGTCGCCCAGGCTGGAGTGCAGTGGCCGGATCCCAGCTCACTACAAGCTCCGCCTCCCAGGTTTACGCCATTCTCCTGCCTCAGCCTCCCGAGTAGCTGGGACTACAGGCGCCCGCCACCTCACCCGTCTAGTTTTTTGTATGTTTTTTTAGTAGAGACGGGGTTTCACCGTGTTAGCCAGGATGGTCTCGATCTCCTGACCTTGTGATCCGCCCATCTCGGCCTCCCAAAGTGCTGGGATTACAGACTTGAGCCACCGCGCCCAGCCTGTAGGCCACTTCTTAAAGGCCCATTGTTTCTCAAATATCTCAAACTTGGCCGGGCACGGTGGCTCATGCCTGTCATCCCACTTTGGGAGGCCAAGGCAGGCAAATTACTTCAGATTGGGAGTTCGAGACCAGCCTGACCAACATGGAGAAACCCTGTCTCTACTAAAAATACAAAATAAGCCGGGCATGGTGGCGCATGCCTGTAATTCCAGCTGCTTGGGAGGCTGGGGCAGGAGAATTGCTTGAACCTGGGAGGTGGAGGTTGCAGTGAGCCGAGATTGCACCATTGCACTCCAGCCTGGGCAACAAGAGCGAAACTCCATCTCAAAAAAAAAAAAAAAAATCTCAAACTTAACATAAAATGTGATTTTCTCTAAAAACCTGCTCTTCCTCCTGTATTTGCCATTTCAGTAAAAGGTACCTCCATATATCCAGTCACTCAGACTGGAAACCTGAAGAGCATTCTCGACCCCTTCCTTAATCCTGTAATCAGACAGTCTCCAAGTTCTGTTATTTCTACTTCCAAACTGCATCTTGAATCAGCTCATTTATTCCAGCTCTATGGCCAGCACCCTGGTCCAAGATTCCATAATTTCTTTCCAGGGTCCTACTATAGCCTCCTGACCTCCCCACTTCTGTTTTTGCTTCCCTTCCATCTAGTCTGCACAGCAGCCAGAGGTGACCTTTATATAAATATAATTTGGAAGATGATATTTCCCTACTTAAAATCTTTTAATGTCTTCCACTGCACTCAAAGTTCAAACTCCTCATGGCTAATACATGATATAGCTCTGCCTCCCAACCTCCTGTCTACTCTTCTTTCTCATGACGTGCAGCCTCAGGAGCATCTAAAGTGTCCTCTTTTCCTGGAATGCCCTCCTCTACATCCTCCCTCTTTGTCTGACTGATGCATAATTTTCAGTGTGTTAGCTTAAGCCTAATTTCCTCAGAGAAGCCTTCTCTGACCATTAACATCCCTTTCTTAATTAGGTTACCTTTGTATAAGTTTCCTTTTCTTTTCTTTTTTTTTTTTTTTTGAGACGGATTCTCGCTCTGTTGCCCAGGCTGGAGTGCAGTGGCACGATCTCGGCTCACTGCAACCTCTGTCTCCCTGGTTCAAGCAATTCTGCCTCAGCCTCCCAAGTAGCTGGGGTTACAGGCATATACCACCATGCCTGGCTAATTTTTATATTTTTGATAGAGACGGGGAAGGTGTTAGCTTAAGTCTAACTTCTTCAGAGAAGCCTTCTCTGACCATTACCACCCCTTTCTCTAATTAGGCTATCTCTGTTTAAGTTTCCTTTTTTTTTTTTTTAAATACGGATTCTCACTCTGTTACCCAGGCTAGAGTGCAGTGATGTGATCTTGGCTCACTGCAACCTCAGCCTCCCGGGCAATCAATTCTCCTGCCTCAGCCTCCCAAGTAGCTGGGGTAACAGGTATGCGCCACCACACCTGGCTAATTTTTGTATTTTTAGTGCCCAGCTAATTTTTGTATTTTTAGTAGATACGGGGTTTTGCCACGTTGACCAGGCTGATCTCGAACTTCTGACCTCAAGTGATCCACCTACCTTGGGCTCCCAAAGTGCTGGGATTACAGCTGTGAGCCACCTCACACAGCCTTAAGTTTCCTTTTGGGTCTATCATCATGATGTGTTACCTTAGTGTTTGTCGAGGCTTGCTTTCCCTGCTAGACTGTAAGCTCTGTGAAAACAGACCATATCTGTTTAGTTGAAAAATGTATGCTTTGGGTAGCACCATGCCTGGCACATAAAATAATTCAGTGAATTTTCTGAGCAATGAGTCATGGGAGACCTGGAAGAGCTAATGGTGAAAAGCATGGAGTTGAATTATATACAGGGGAGCTTTCTAGTGTAGGACAGAATAGAGGTGGAGAGCTTTAGTCCTTGCTCTTTCTGCAGCTTGTAAGCATCATGACTTTGGGTAAGTCATTCTCAACTTTTTTCCTCAGCTGGAAAATGGAGCTCATGTGAAATGACTTGGTTTAGCTCACAGGGTATGGTTAGGATCAAAGGTAAAAATTAATGTGAAGTGAATGTGCATATTTCAGAGGCTGCACTAATGCAGGCTAACCTACTGCTGAGGAATGGGTAGAGCTGAGTGGGAAGGAGAAGCCAAGCCCCAACAAAGCTCCATAGTCCACCACTGGTGGCTAGCTATGTGCTGAGACTTGTTATAGCAGTAGAAATGGAGGCCTGCATGTATGCTTGGACTCTCCAGTGAACTGGGAAGATAGACATGGCTT